TTGCAGATCACTTATGTCTCTTTTTAAGAAACAAAATTCATAGCTCTTTACTTTAATAGAGACAAAAGTCAGAAAATATTATAAATCACTGATTTGGATAATGAAAAACAATTGTAGGTAGTTTTTTTATAATTATTAATTTAAAAATTTTAATATTTCCTAGTGAGGAACATTTGACTTTTATCCTTGCCTTCCTCTTTAGGAACCCATCTTTATAATACACTACAAAAATACTTCCTAAAAATAAAAATGATAGTCCCTAGTGACTCTTTGGAATACTAAGTGCCCAGACATAGCAGGACAACTAACAAAGGTGATATTTACTAAGAATGTATAAAATCAGATTGTATTGAATAAGAAAGAATAGTATGGTTAAAATAGTTATAAGTATAGTCTCTTGTAATCTAATCTATACTTCTCAAAAATTCCAAATCAATAAAGCTCAGTTAGTATAACTAATTAAAAAAAATTAAATTAAATTAAAAAAAAAAAAAAAAAAAAATATAGAAATTTCAAAGATTTTGACAAAAGTCATGTATAAAATAAAGTGATTGGATTTTAATTCTTGTTAGAACTCGGAAAAGTGATCTGCAATAATAACTTGCAGACAATGGTACTAATAGGTGAAAGGATTTTTACCTGATCTGTTAATGGAGCAATAAACTATTCCCATAGTTGCACTTAGAGTTTTGTAAACTAAGACAAGTAAATTAGTTAAAGAATAAACTTTAGTGATACATGAATTTACAGTATGTACAGAATGACAAAGGGTTTTTTTAAAAAAAGTAAAAAACCAAATTAAATTTATATCTTTGATTTACTAAAATTAAATTTATGTCCTTGTATGATTTATTGCCTTCATGACTTAATTATTAAAGGAAAATAAAGTCTTACAAAACTTCTAGATTTGGAATGCTTTGGAAATACATTCTCATAAAATAATAAAATTTGATACAATATTGTTGCGCATTTACTTATAATTAACTGAAAGAACTACAGGATCGGATTCTCAACAGAATAAATAAACGTACTAACATTTCATAGTTTTTTATTTCTTGCACTTTGTCGCCTGGCCTTTCCTGGTCGATTTTTTGAAAATTTTTTTTTCGATCTTGTCTATATGTTTATAAACGAATTAATTATCATCGGTAAATGTCTAATTATTTTAGAAGGTAAAATCTTGATGTCTACTACCTGAAGATTTCCTTTACCACTTTTCGCGCCGAATCCGGATATGTCACCTGAAGTCTCGGCCGTATTCGACTTTAAAAATCGCTTCCTTCCACCGAATCCAAATTTTTCATCCTATAATTTAATCAGAGAATGCAATTACTAAAAATAAATAAATAACCATCATATTCAAGGAGATTATGAATACCTTTTTAATACGTTTTTTACTTTTTCCGGTATTTTGTCGTTTCTTTGGTCTATCGTCTTCGTCCAACGCGATTTCAAAATCATCATCCGCAGCAGTTTCTTCAATACCTTTTCGTTCTATTAGTGAATGAAAACGGTGTGGGTATACGATTTTTCATGTTTCAAAATCTTTTAAAAATTTTTATTACTTTTTTTCATGAACTTGATCTTTTCCAGTTCTTCCTTCTTTTGCTTTTGTCGCTCTTGAATTTTTTCTACTTGAACTTTTTTGCCAAATTTCCTCAATTCTCTCTGACGTCTCGCCTCCTCACTAGCTTTAATCCCTCGCTCTTCGTTAATCAATTTTTGTCGTATTTTAGACATGTGCTCATCAGATTTGACCATTTCCGCGAAATAATCATCTGGTCTCGAGAATGGTGTCCCGGTGGCTATAATCTTTTCGCGTCCTTCAACAGCAGCTTCGAGAGCTTGCTTGTAACTAATTATGTGACAACGATCAGGATGATTCGGCAAAAAATTTCGTCCGAAAAATGTGAAACCAATAAAATACAAACAATGCTAGTTCGCGTTCGACATCATTATGAATATCTTTGATCACCACTGGTTCCGAAGAAGTGACTGACTGGGTTTCTATCCACGGCGCATCAATTTTAATTTCATTACAAATTTTTCTTAGCGCCGACTTGCCAATGTATATAAACCTTAATTGTCAATATGATTGAGCGCAGAGTTAAGAAAAGAGCAAGAAAAAAGGGATTCGGTGTTTAAACAGACTTTGTTATTTATCGTGACACGTTGTTTTGGAACAATGTCTTCTTCTATTTCCGAGTCGGAAAGCTCTTCCAATGGAACACCCTCTGGCTCTGACTGAGAGTTTCTTTCAGCCTCAGAATCAGGATCGCTCTCTGAGGTATCAGTTACGGTTCTTTGGATTGTTTCATGTCCCGCTTGATCTTCCCCGGAATTTTCTTGATCGGAAACTTTCTGGTCCTCGGAATCTTCTTGGTCCTCTTCGGAATCTTCTTGGTCTTCAGTATCCCCTTGGTCCTCTTCAAAAATTTCTCTGGTACTCTTTTGCTCTTCTGATTCGTTGGGAATTGATTTGCTCTTCTGATTCTTGGGATTCTTTCTAAAAATCATTTCGAAACTTGATCGTGATCGTCAAACAGTGTCAGATAATCTCTTATCTAAATTATCGGAACACAAAATTTTTTTAACGTGCATACGCACATTGTCTCTCGTGAAACCTATCAAATGACAGACATTTCGTCAATTCTTCAAGGAGGCTATAACCACCCGACCTCGAGATTATGGCATTCCGAGAGAATTTTAAGGAAGGCATCATTAATGTATCCGATCTTTATAACCGATAAAGCTGATGCGGAAGAAGAGATTCATTCCATGCCTGGTCAAAAAAGGTTATAACCGATAATACAATTTCGATAATATCTTTCATTATACCGGGCGAGTCATTTACATTCATTTTCGTTCATTTCGAATTAGATGGGGTGTTAATAAGCTTGAAGGATTTCTTAAGCCACTCGTGGAGAAAGGCTTAAAATCTCTTATTTTATTTGGTGTCATCACTAGCGGAAAAGTAAAAGATCCTGATTTACCATAATATCTGATTCCAAGTAATTTATTGACCAAGAATTTACCTCAACGCTAAAGGACGCCACCGGTACAAAAGCTGATGATCCAAACGGTACAGTTATTCCGGCTGTAAAGCTTATTCGCAAGAAGTTCCCAGGATTGTACATCGTCTGTGACGTTTGTCTCTGCGAATATACGGATCATGGTCATTGTGGTAAACATGAGATAAAAAGAAATATTAGAAGAAATACGTATACATATATATATTCTACTTTGATAAGATCATATCATTCGATGTATTGATTCATAATGACAGGATATCTGAATCAAGATGGTACCATCAATAATGCGGCCAGTGTTAAACGTCTAGCTGAAGTGGCTGCCAATTATGCCAAAGCGGGTGAGAATTATTGCCGTTTATGTTATCGGTAATTCGGAAAAAATCTCTCTCGTTAATGAAAATAATTCTAATATATATAGGCGCTCACTGCGTAGCACCATCAGATATGATGGATGGTCGAATTAAAGCCATCAAGGAGTCACTAATTAGAGAGGGACTTGGTAACAAAGTTGCATTGATGAGCTATAGCGCTAAATTTGCAAGTGCATTTTATGGACCATTCAGGTATCTATGCGTTTTATTAACGACATCGATTCTAAATTTGCTATAAGGACTTTTCGTTTTTGAATTTTAGAGATGCCGCCAATTCGCCTCCTCAATTTGGCGATCGTAAATGCTATCAACTCCCACCTAATGGTAGAGGTTTGGCGCGTCGAGCGATTGTAAATAAGTCTTCACGCACTCTGTTGTCGTCACGCTTGCTTTCCTTCGTCGCTAATTAAAAAAAAAAAAATTTTTTTTTTTTTTTTAGATCCGAGACCTTGGCGAGGGTGCTGATATCATTATGGTTAAGCCAGGGATGCCATATTTGGATATCCTCCGTGATGCGAAAGAAATAGCATCCGATGTTCCTATAGCTGTCTATCAAGTTTCGGGTGAATTCGCAATGATCTGGCGTTCTGCCGAAGCAAACGTGATCGATCTTAAGACCGCTGTACTTGAGAGCATGGATAGTTTTTTGAGAGCTGGTAAATATGTCTTTTCTACTATTCACATTCATTAATGTTATTCACTCTTTATATCTTGGGGACGAAACGTTAGGTGCAAACATAATCTTAACTTATTATACCCCACAACTCCTTGACTGGTTGGAAGCTTAACTTTTTCCAATACGGTAACGGAAAAAGTGGGCAAATGGAATTCGTATCTTAAAACACCAATTTGATCAATTTCGCACATCAATTAATTTCACTTGCCGACATCTGCAAAAAAAAACTTCAAAATTGGGAACTTCACATACACTTGATTCCCCTGTTGGAAGATTATATAAATGAATCCGATGTATAATTAATTATCAAATATTGGGAGTCGTTTATTTCTCACTTTTTAGTCGGCTGAAGAATATTATTAAATACAGGTGTTTTTTCAAAGGAAAAAAAAAAAAAAAGAATTATGTATAATAAATAATTCAATGATAAAGCAAAAATATATACATTATTCCGAGGGAGATTGTCTGGATCATTTTTCAATCGCATTTCTCGAGTTCTGTCCGTGATGTGCATACTGCCGACACCAAGTCGCCAAGGAAAGGGCCGCGTAAAACCAAAACGTCTCGGAATATATATATATTCATGATTTTATCAAAGAAAAGAATAGAATAAATATGAACAGATGGAAAGGGTGAACTTCAATTGGTATGTATATCGGGTAAGAGTTTGATGAACGAAAGAACCTCCCGGGTAATGAAGTGTGTACAATATACAAGATTATACTGAGTTTTTTTTTCTCGTTTTGAAACGAAAAGGAATGCATTCAAAAAAAAAAAGGGGGGAGGCATATATATATATATATATATATATATATCGAATTTAATGATGAAGTATGTGATCTTTTTTAGATTTTTACAAAGGAGGCGAATAGAAAAACGATCCACACACCACCCTACATCTTTTTGGGGAAAAGATATTAATTAGCCTTCATTACTACTCTTGGCATATCTAGCTAATAATTCTTCCCGTTTCTTCTCCCAACGGCGCCATTGGCTACTGTTATGTGACCCTATAGAATAATCTGTGGTTAAACCGGGATTATCATTAACCCATAGCATGGAAGGTGTGGTAGGTCCTCCATATCCGTACGTGAATTCATCTGAACCGTTGCGCCAATTACGACCGTATTGCATAGCACTACTTGAGGTTCCATTACTCAAAGTCCTGCCCTTCCTTTCAAAGGGATTTCGGTTGTAATTATAATATGAAGCCCGCCGAAAATGATGCGTGGCCAATGAATCTCCAAGGAGAGGAACTCTCTCTTCGTCACTGCTTCTAATTCTACAGCATCTGCAAAGACAACAGCAGAAACATAGTAACACCGAGAAGATCGTAATTCCAGCTAGAGCAGACGTCAAAGATATGAAGGCTTGCTTATAAGTAACTATAATAATAATAATAATAATAATAATAAAAATTACTCAATGAAGGACCGAAAAAAAAAAAAAAAATTAAAAAGCATGTGCATTATTAATATGCATATTAACGACCGAACTATCTCGACCCCTCTATGCGCATAGATCAATGCGTAAGAAGGATATTGGAATCGCACAGAAACAATGAGCACCAGTTAGTGATCGACCGAAGGACAACTTACCAAAACATTGAGCATACTCGTAGTCCAAGCTGGGGCACGTTGATGGATTACCGAAAGGCCCCTTCCAACCACCTTGTACGCACATATTTGTCTGGAGTGGTTGTGATTAATCACGCGCATTAGAGAATATAAGCGCAAAAAGCTTAGAGATAAATAAGGTTTAAAGCTTACTGCTACACAAAACCCGCATTCCAAATGACTCGTGCATTCGCCACAAGAAATGATGCTCGAACAGTTTATTAAGGGACCTAAGTGATTTCAAAACATATGTCAATCTTTGAAGACATTAAGCGCTCTTGAAAACTTTTTTTTGAAAAAGATCGATGAGAAATACGAACCCGTGGAATTGTCATGACCATGACTTGAAACTAAGTGCGCGTTTAATACTGACAACACAACAAGCACAATGAAATAAAAATATAGTTTCCGAGACATAACAAGTTAAGCTTTCAAAGACGCCTTTGTTGGGAAAGACCGTTATATATATATATATATAGATATATATAATAGAAAAAGGCGAAAAACAGATAGGAGGAAAACGAGTTTTAAATAAAGAGACTCCAAAAGAAGGACGATTAATAAGAATAATGGCTATATAATATAGTCCTTGAAAATGTTAAGTAACGATTTAGGCAAGATCTCCATAATTATATTGTCCCACTCGGGGGGTTTTGGCTACCACTTGTGTTGTGTAATTTCTTTGCTACCGATTTGTCGCGTATTTTGCAACTCCTTTAATAATTCGGTTCTAATTCGAACAGCTGTTCAGTGACTATCGCAAATCCCAAATCTTATATCCGTGCGGGTCAGCTTCGATATACATTAGTTTCTTAAATCTTCAAACATAATTTATATTACGATATTCGAATTAGAACTGCACCACTTCATGTGTTCAATTTTACATGCGAACGTGATTTTTATCATTTACTTAAATCATCCTGTGACACGACCAGCGAGTGAAAGTGGATGCCAAAGTTTTAACTATGTAAGGCATAGGAAACTAGAATATTAAGTTACCCCTTCTCATTTATTAGCCCATCATATGCAGGCGTGACTCACGTGGAATATGAGATGGTGTAAATGAGATTGACAAATCCGAGTTTTACAGTGTGATGCATCGTCGAAGGGTCGAAGCTTTATTTTTGAGAAAGGGCGCATGTATGTATTTATACAACGAATGAATGAATGCTACTCATCGCGCGTGTAAAATCAGGTTCGCGTCACATGCCTTCTCCTCACATCCTGTAAGCCTGTAAGAACGAATATTTCCTATTCTCGATTAATCGGCAGGTAACCTAAATTTTTTGTAATGCGTAACATACAATATATATATTTTTTTAATGTCCAATTAATTAACGTGCACTTTACGTCCACCTTTTTTAGATTATCTAAATCCGGACGAGAGACTATCGTCAGTTCGATCGTCGACGACTGATAAGCCTAATTGGTCCGGAAACAGGGTATCGGAATAAGGAGTAAAAGTTTTAGCTACGCGGAAATCAAGATTTTTGCTTTTGATTTTCTAAACATGTATGTACCATAATATCATGGAATTTCGTTCTCCAATTCAACAAAGTCAAAAAAACCACGAGATTCCTCTACATTCACGCTTAGTTTCCATCACCTATTCGTGATACTGATTTTTTAATTTAATAACGTAAAATGCATAAAGTCACTGCATCAATAAGAAATACAGCATACTATTGGCCTAAAATTCCAATTCGTTGCTTTCACCACTATCATTTCATGCCGTTAAACATAAAATAGACCGGATCTGTTTTTTTCATTGATGCAATCAAATTTTACTCTTCAAATCTGATCAAACAGATGGTCTGTAATTGGGTGGGGTTTTTTTCTTTGAGAACCATAAATGGTTCATTTATTCATTTTACAGCAATCTATTTATGGTATGCCTAATGTATTTAACTAATATACTGTATAACAATAGTTTTGATATAGTATAAATACAATAAAGAAACTTTTTTTTTGTTAATAAATCTTTAAACTAAACAAATTATATAAATAAAATAAAATAATGATTCATTATATTATTAAATTATATTGTTTATACTGTATATTTATAAAGAAAAATAAAAATATAAATATTTTTATTTTAAAATTTTTATTGTTTAAAATTTTTTAAAAAGTAGCTTACTATGATTTTTAGAGTATTTAATATATTAGAATTAATACTATTATTAGAATTCTTTAATAATCAATTATATTTTATATTTTTCAACAAAAATAAAATAAAATAATAATCTTGTAAAAATAAGAAATATTTTTATCAAATAGGTAGAAAATAATATTTTTTTTTCAAAAAAAAATAATTTAATATAATATTTTTTTTTTTTATTATTAAATTAAGATAATATAATCTTTATTTTTATTATTATTTTTTTTTTTTAATCTGCTATCAGGCTAACATGACTTATCTTTATTGTGTATTTAAAATATTATACATTTTCAAAGATTTTCACATAACAGCTCACCTGTCTTAGAAGTTTAACTTCTTTAGATGCAACTTAGGAGATGATATTTTGTTCTCTTAATAACTTGGATTATCCTTTAGCTATCAAATTCATTGCTTACAGGTTATCATTGTAAATTATCCAAAATTCTAAATGACAGATCAAATACCTAATCACGTTCCCCCTTTAACTATCCATCTTTCAATAATCTCCTCGAGATTTATACCTTGAGATTGTTCTTTATATAATATCTTATCTATTAAAGG